GGCCCTGCCCAGCTGCTCCCCAGCCCCCAGCCCCAGCCTGACCCTTCTGTCGGTCAGGGTTCTGACAAATCTCCATATTCCTCTCTAAGCCCAGCTAAGTAATTTAAGGCAAACTCTCATTCTAAATTTTAAAATGTGGCTTCTCTCTCCCTTCTCCCACCCAGAAGCCCTGTCTCCTAAAGCAGTGGGTGTCAGCCTTGAGAAAGCATCAGAATCCTCAGAGGAATTCATTTAAATGCAGATTCCTGGGCCCCATCTCACTCCCACTCTGGTCCCACTGGCCTTGAATCTGCATTTTAACAAGCTTCCAACGCAAATTCTAACACTGGAGGCCCCTGGACTTCACTTTGGGAACTTGTGTTTGGAAGGAAAAAGTGTGACAGATGGAAAGCTCCGCAAGGGTAGTTGCTGGTCTCATTCACTCAGCTGTATCCCCCAGGTAATAACTAGCACAATGCCCCAGGCACAGCAGGTGCTCAGAGGTTACATGAATGGATGGATGGATGGATGGATGGATGGATGGATGGATGGATGGACGGATGGACGGATGGACGGATGGACGGGTGGACGGGTGGATGGGTGGGTGGATGGATGGATGGATGGATGGGTGGGTCAGTGGGTGGATGGATGAATAAGGTAGGTGGGTGGGTGGGTGGATGGATGGATACAGTGGGTGGGTAGATGGATGGATAAGGTGGGTGGGTGGATAGATGGGTGGATGGATGAATGGATGTGGGAAGACAAGGGAGGGCTGCTCAAGAGAGATGAACATGGGCCAACAGGGTTCCCAATCAACAAGCCAAAACTGGCTGGAAGAAAGCATTGCCCTTCATATTAAAAATGTCTCTCTGAAAAATGTGTTAACCAGAGCTGAGTAATTTTTAATTTAGAATTCTGTAAGGGACACGAGAGCATCTGTAACATGGATGACATATCCCCAGGACAAGCTGACCAGATGCGGGCTTGGGAGTCATGAGCTGCAAGTGAATGAAAACACTCCCAATTCAGAATCAAATAAACATGCCTGGGCCTACAGCCAAGGAGAATTCTTGGATTGGACTTTTATCAGGAACCTAAATTCTAACCAGCTGGAACTTCTTTTTTTCCAAGTACCACCCTATTCCTTCCTACCTTTTGAGATGAAGTATTTGCCTTAAATGGGAAACTTACACTTTATTGTAAAGACGATGCCAGCTTTTGGGGGTAGGAATTGTGTTTCAGGGATAACTGACCAGAGAAGGGGTACCTCATTCAGGTAGGGGGGCAAGGAATGTCCCCTCCTCCCCCACTGCAAGAAAGCCATTAAAGAAAAACCTGTGGCAGTGGATCCTGACTCCTTGCTCCGTAAATAGGCTTCTCAAACTAGGAGCAGGACCAGAGCGGGCAGGGAAGAAACCCTCAGCACAAGTGACTGATATAATTAAAGTTACCCATCACAAACAAAACCATTCCACTAGCAAGAAGCAAGCATTAAGAGCCTGTAAAATCGAGAATGTCGGCCCCTCCAGAAGTCTTACAAATTGTTGCTTCTTCGGGAAAACAGTATTTATTACTCAAAGGGCAACTTCACCTGGCAAGGGCCTGAGGAGCCTTTTTTTTTTTTTTTAAGTAGTAGAGGAAGCACACCCACAACTCTTTTCTAAAACCCTGAGTCGTGCTCAAGATGGTATTGGCCCCTTAATTGCTCCGCTAATAACGGGGAGGTTGTGAAAGCTGGCGGGCTCCTCCAGAGCAGCCCCAAAGCATCTGTGAGCACAGCGGTGAGGGCTAGCTGGCTGCAGGCACCCTGCAAGTCTGGAAAACACTCATTCCTGCCGGGCATGGGTTCCTGGAACACATGTTCCCTGGACACCACTGACTCAGCTCCTCTCTAGCACCCAGATCCCATCCCTTCTTCGGGACGCACTTCTGTACCCTGCCGTCCCCCTCCCAGGTTCTGAGTGTGGCCCAGACCCACAGGAAGCCCTCTCCTGTTTGCATCACGCATAATCAGCCCTTAATCTTACGTGCCCTATAGCTCCAACTCTAGGCTGTGTGCAACCTCAGGGCTGAGGCCAACATCTATGGACCAAGCACCTACTATGTGCAAGGCACACGCTAGGGGCTTGAGACGCACACATACACACACTCTCTCTCTCTCTATTATCGAGAAGCACAGGTCAGGACAGATGCCCCTGCATAACAGCATTAGGGAAAACAGTATTTCTTAGACAACTGTTCTGTCCTCATGGAGCACAGCCTGGTAGGGGACCCAGACATAAATCAAATACCCAGGCTGCTGTACACCAATACTAACGGGCCAGCAACTTCTGGGAGACCAGAGCTACGAAGGTGGGGGCAGAGAAGGCTTTGAGCAGAAGAGATGCTGGAACTGAGAGAGGAGGCTGAGGAGATGTTAATGGTAAAGAGAAAGAACGCAGGCAGACACAGTATGTGCAAAGGCCCAGTGCAGAGGAGAATACTGGAGCTTGGTGCTCTGATCTCTCCTCTCACTTCTTAAAATCTACCACTTAATACGGGATGTTGCAGGAAGGCTGCCTGGGTCTAAATGGGTTCAGCTAAGATTTACAGGGCTCCAGGCTCTGAGGCCATTAAGATCAGGTTCAGTGCCTGGCTACAGAAACTAGTCTGGACACAGATGTGAACAGACACAGATGATGCAGTCTGCTGAGAACCACAGTGCAAGGAACTGCATGAGACGGTGAAGGAGAAAGGCATTCGGGGGGGGCTTCCCATAAGGAGGCTGAGCTGAGTCTTAGACCCAGCAGAGGCTCTCAGGGCAGAAAAAGGCCCCCCAAGAGGGCAGAACAGTGCTTGTGAAGCTTTCGTAGCACCAGGAGTTAAGGGACAGGGCGGGAGGGACAGGCACTGAGGCTGGGAAGGTGGGTGAGCGAGCTGGGTGGGAGAGCTGGATCAGGGAAAGCTGGCGGCTCCATCAGATGCACCAAAAGGCAGTTCCAGGTAGGAAGGAGCCATGGGTGGGGCTGGGAAGAGCCTGGAATCTGGGAGATGGTCCAGGAAGGGGATGAAGACCGACCTGAGTTATGGATTGGTGGGGCCAAAGCAGGTGCTGTTGGGAAGGTTCACCCCCAACTAGAGGTTGTGGTGGGGAAAAAGAGGCTGTCACAAGAGTGCCAGGTGTTGGGGCAGGGCCACCACTAACTGTAGGGCACAGGGGGAGGGGTGTGTGTACAGGTTTGGGGAGAGCACATTCCCACAGATGGCGAGAAAAAAACCCACTCAGCTCCTTTGGGTACTACTATAACCATGGCATTAAAACCTTCCCCAACTCTCTGCACTGGCTCATGAAGTCACCAGGGCAACTGCAGAGAAACAGCCAACGGGACTGATCCGCCTATGTCGTCACATGGAGACTCAGAATAAAGTGTCCGTGACGCCGTCACTGCCGCTCAAAAGCCAACATCAGCCTAGATTCAAAAAAATTTAGAAGGGCCAAGAAGTCAACATGCTTTAAGGAGAACTTTTTTTTTAATCTAAAAACTGGGGAACACCTGGTATCTATATCAAAAAAAAAAAGATCGGTGATGTTTTGACTGAAATAGGACCCAGCAAGACAATGTGATGTTTTACTCAAATGAGAGAGTGATAGAGCCTAGGGTTAATGCTCACGGCGTTGGGGGGAAGAGGGTCCTGTGTCAGCAGCTACTGAGTCTGAGGATGTGCAGACTTTAGCAACACCCACCCAGCTGCCTGGCTCATACCTGGTTTTCTGCACTGTGTCTCTCTGAACGTGGAATGAGTGGGCCGGAGGTACCAGCCAGTGCCCCTAAGGAGAGGCACGTCCTAGGCCTCTGCCGCGCTGAGGCTCTTTAGACTATCACAGAAGTTGTGGGTCAGTATGGTCAAAGCTAACTAACCCGCATTCATCCCTTGGCGCGGCAGTGCTGGGGAAACTAGGAAATCCCCATTTCCTCCCATTTTCCAGATAAAGAAACAGAGGCTCGCGGCGGCCCAGGATCGGAGCTGAGGTTCATGTCTGTGGCTGCCTGAGGGCAAACCCGTGTCCTCTCGACAAGGCTGAGGCCCTGAGAGTCGGACGCCGTGCCCGCCCTGGCCTCTGTGTGATGCGCGCAGCAGATGGATGGAGTCTCCGGGTCCTGGGGTCGCGCAAGCCCCAGGGGGGCGCCCAAGTGGGGATCCGAGGGGAACAGCGTACCCGCGCACACCGTAACCCCCATCCGCTACCAACGGCATCAAAGGGGCGCTTGGTTCCCGGGAGAAGGCTCCAAGCCCGGCGTTGGGAAGTCTGGGCAACTCTCAAGTCTCAACTCTGACCGAGGTGACAAACTCAGGCCGCCCTTTGGCCGTGGAAAATATCCGCAACTCAAGTTGCGGGGAGGAGAGTGTCATCCGTCAGACCACTCGCTAGACCAAGGGCTGAGCGGGGGAGCCAAGCTTCTCAGCAAGGCAGGAGTCCGGGGTGGTGAGCTGGGAGCGGGGTAAGACGGCCCCAGCAAAGAAGGAACAAAGCGACCCCAAAAGAGGGTCTCCTCCTCTACCGCCCCGGGCCTTTTCAGAGCGGCGGACCGGAGGGTCGGGAGACCCTCACCCCACTCCAAAGCTCTCCCCGTCCGGACAGCTCCGGGGAGCCCGGCCAGAGGAGGTCCCGGGCCGGGAACAAAGGTTGGGGCACACTCCCCCTCCACGCCCGCCCCGCCGCCGGCCGCCCCCTCCCGCCTGCCCTCCGGGAACAGGACCCCGGCCGGCTGCCGCGCTCATTAGCAACACAAAGCCGGGGGTCAGGCGGCCCCCTTCACCCGGGCCGGGGCCGGCGGACGCTCGCCCCAGGAGGGAGAGAGGGCGGGAGGAGCGGCGGGGATCCAGCCCGGCTGCGGACCCGGAGCAGAGCAGCCCGGTGGCGCGAGCTCACTGTCCCCGAGCACCTGTGCGCGCCGCCCCCGCCCCTGCCCGGCGCCGCCGCCTCCCGCGCGCCCCGGCGAGTGTGGAGAAGGCGAGAAGCCCGCCCGCCCTCGCCTTACCCTCCAGCCGCAGGTGTCGGCGCCCCGAGCGCGGCCCGAGGGGCCCGCGGCCACGGCCAGCTGCGAGCCGTTGAGGCAGGCGTTGACCGTGAAGAAGACAGAGCAGAGCTGCAGCCAAGGGGCCATGGCCGTGCGCTCCCCTAGCCCAGCCCTACTCTGCGCCCCGACCGCCCGCCGCTGCCCAGCCACGAGTGGGCGGGGCGGGGCGGCTGGACGGACGCTCCGAGCATGCGCAGCAGGGCCCCGGCCCGCCCCTCAGGGCCCCGCCCCCGGCCTCGGTCCATCGGGCCCTAGCCCCGCCCCTCCCTAGGCCACGCCCTCTGGTCACGCCCCAGACAACCCCTGGGCCCCTGCAGTTTGTTCCCCTCACCTAAGAGGCCTTTTTTAATCCAAAAGATTTGTCCAACTGATGCCCGTCCAACGCAAAAACTCAGGGAAACACAAAGAATATAATAATAATAGTTTTAATACTAATAATTTAACAAGCACCTACTATGTGCCAGGCCTCTTCTTGAATCCTCCAGGGAATTCAACAACCAGGGAAGTGTCACTATTCTCCCAGTTTTAGGCGCCGAAAAGTTAGGGTCAAGTGGTGGTTAGAGAAATCCTGGCTCCACATTCACTACTGGGATCTCGACAAACGACTGGCACTCTCAGCGCTACTGTTCCCTCCCCTGTAAAGGGCAGTAATCAAGAGTATCTTAGTCTGGGGAGGGTTCTGTTGGTTAACACAGAGCAATTGCTCTATCAATGCTACAGTGTATATCGTTAGCCGACTGGCAGACGGTCACAGCTGGTGCCTGTCAGACCAGGGATTTCACAGCTGGTACCTGCCAGACCTGGGATCCTGATCCAGATCTGACTAAGAACAATGCTCTTCGCCACTATAATTGTCAGACACCCTTGTGTGGTGCATAATGAGCCCGGTTTGCAGGAGGACACCGAGGCTCAGAGAAGCGGAGTAGCCAAGGTCATAGACTTTTCACCACTATCCCCGCCTTTGCCTTGTGTCTGTGAGTCTGAACTGAACCACTGCTGCCCCCTCCCTAGTCTAGATCACCACCACCTCCTACACACCAGCTAACTAAGTGCTTTTCTGCTTCCACTCCTGACCTGACACACAATTCCTCCACCCTGGATCAAGCGATCTTCCGAAAAGGTAAATCAGACCACTCACTTCTGATCAAAACTTTTCCCTAGTGGCTTTTATTCAACGGTCATATAGAATAAAGGCCATCGTAGCTTCAAGGCCCCCACCTCATCTCTTCCAACTTCGCCGTCACCACCAGCTTCACCTGGTCTTCCTCCTCCACCACGTGTTGGTCCTCTAGTCTCAGTAAACCTTGGAGACGCTCACTTCTGTCCGTCCCACAAGGCAGGGACCTCTACATGACTCTCTCCTTCCAGGGCCCAGAATCCGATCCCTCTCCTGGTCCTACACCGTGGCTAACTAGTGCTGGGTTCCTGCACTTTCCCTCGCGGCTCTACATACCCTGCCCACACCTTTGTGCTGAAATCCTCCACAGTAGCAGGGGTAGTCCCCAGCCTGATGAGCTACCTCTGTGGGAAAAAAGGACCCTTCTCTGCAGCGCTGGCCAGTGCTGGGGACTGCCTCTGACGTGGCCACCCCTGGAACCAGGGTGCGGAGCCAGCCTCACCTGAACCACAGAGGCTGAAGTGGGAGACAGGTGGTTGTGCAAAGGAAAACTGGCATTGTTACCAGAGAAAGGGGGTTGGGGGCTGGGATCCCCCAAACCACAGTATCACCACAAAACCCAAGTGCTGGGCTTCCCTTGCCATGCACACCACTGGGTGGAAATGCTTGTTTTTCATCTCACTGCCAGGATATTCAGTAACTCGGCCTGGCCCAGTGAGGGCAGGCACCATGCCATCTTTGGCCACCCTAGAGCCCGGATGCACAGCAGGCAGCCCCGGAGCAGGGTCTATCCTCTGAACAGACCTCACACACATGCTGCTTCTCTTGGGGAGGTTCGCTGTTCTGCTCCTTCCCAGGTCTCAGTCCACCCTCCCTGCCACCCTCGGTACTGCTCTTGGGGTCTCCCTGGACCCTCACAGCAGGGGACGTCAGGGGCTTGGCCATGAGGGTTGGGGGTGCCAGAGGCTGAGACAAGGCCAGGTCCAAGGAAACCACAAGGCTACCGACTCCTTAATCTCCATGACATCCAGCCTGGAGATACGCCATAATGCATGAACCAATCCCCTACTGAGGGCCTTCCATTCTCATCAGTGGTTCAAAAATATCCTCACACATTTATCTTTGCATGTGTCCAACTATGTTCTTAGGATACAGTCCTGGAATCAGAGTTCCTGGATTATCGCTCATGTTCACAATCGCCAAAGTGCTCAGCATCTCAATGCTATCTTAACTGGTTCTTGTGGCCACTCCCGTTCTCATGTATTTACTGGCCATTTCCATTTCTCCCTTTGTTCAGGAACTGGACTCTAGGAGAAGGAGGCGTGCCTGGAGCTCATGACTGAGGGAGAAGCTTAAGGAGGGCTCTGGGGAGAGGAAGGCGTTTCCCCCGGCCTTTCCCCTCATCACTGGATGAGCGAGCGCCGGGGAAGGCAGAGCAACATGCCCGCTCCCTTTCTAGCCTCCACATCCGGCCCCTGCTGAATCCCCTGGTCCTAAATGCCAGGCCCCCTCCCACCCACAGCTCATTGCAGAAGCGTCGCAGCTGACACCCTCTGAAGACGTGCTGCAGAGTTCAGACAGGTCTCCGACTTTGCTGAAGGAGTATGCAGGGCACAAGAAGGAAAAGGCCTGTGTCCACTCTAAAGCCTGGCTGGAAGGGCAGCCACGAGGACAGGGTCTGAGAGGCCAGGAGGCTGTAAGCATTCGTGGTGGGGGTAGAGGAAGAGCCACGACATCAAAGGATCGAACTTGGTCAGGAAATTAAGGTAATAAATTGGCATTTGGCAGCATCCTCCCATTCTGGGCTTTTTCATGTATTCTCTTCCTCCCTGTGCCCTCGTTCTACCCTGACCAAGATATTTGTGAGCCTGCAGGGGGTGGGCTGCTATCCTGAGAGCTAAGATCAAGTGAGGGGGCCAGGCCCCCACATGGCCTCCATGGCCCACGGAGCCCCGTGGCTCCCAACAGGTCACAGTTCAACCCAGCATGCAGGCAACCAGAGCATGAGCCCTGGAAACCCTCCCAAATCCAGCACACGGTGTCACCCACTGAGGCCAGGGTTGTCTGAGGTCCAGTCACAATTTCAGCCACCCCTCACCATTGCTGTCTGTCTTAGGTCTCTGCCCCTGTGGCCTGGCACTCTGCCTGGCCCACATCAGTGGGCAAGAAGTGCTTGTTGATGCCACTTCCAAGTCTGTTTGGGATGAAGCCGGGGATTAAACAGATAAAACAGCCTTAAAATAAACTGTTGTGAAATGCAAATATATTTCCCCAATCTACCTAGAACCTGACCAGATAAGAAAAATTCTTAACACAAGGAATGAATTTTGTTAGGGGTCAAATTATGCCCTGAAACATAAGAAAAGGGTGAAGTGATCATGGAAATAATTTGTAACCTGAACCATTCTGAGCCGAGAATAACTAAAGACTATTTTAATGAACAGTGGTTAGAAGCAGTGGCCGGAATTCTATTTTTGGTATTCTGATCAAGCAGTATAGGTTTTATGCACTAACCAACATCTTAAAGGTAAAGGTTACGACTCACTTCCAGGGTCCCAGCAGAATGAGGGTGCAAGGTTTGCCAGGGCTTTGGGGCGAGCAGGCTGCGGAGAGCTGGCACCCTTCTGTGAACCCCCAGCATCAGTCCGGTGCGACCCCCACAGCTGCCCCGAGGGGACGCTGAGTCTCGGCGAGAGGAATCTCCTGCCAGAGATCACAGAGCCAAGGGTTCAAATCGGACCCCAGACGCCCTACCCGGGACGGGAGGTCCCTCCCCCATTTGACCCCCGCAGACTCTCCAGGCCTCAGATGCCAGCCTTCCTGATGCCGGCCTGGGTGCTGCCCCGGAGCAGGAGGAAGACCCGGGGAGGACAGCCCAAGCCTGCTTCCGGGAATCCCAGGACACGCACCCCAAAGTGCCTGGGTGGTGCGCGCCTAGGCGGCTACCCCAAGTTCGCAGGTCTACGGCCACTTCTCACTTCTTTCCCGGCAGGAAATGAAGCGCGGGCGTCAAGCCTCCACGGTGACCGCCAGGGGGGGCGCGCGGTCCGGGTCGCAGACGCCAGGACCGCCCTGGACTGCGGGGACGCGACCGCACGTCCTTCTAGTCAAAGCCCCCAGGGCAAGTGCAAAGACCCCAGTGTTACCCAAAGTTCGTGCCAAGTTTGGAGGGAAGTAGAGTCCAGAGGGCGGTAAGAAAATTTAAGATCAAATAAGCCTCTTACTAACCATGTGACTTTGGGCAGCTCACATACACAATCTGGATATTGTTTTCAGATAGGAATGACGTGGGTGCGGACCTCACTTGGATTTTGCGAGTCGGAAGTAAGCGAATGACTATGAGAGTATGTGAACGTTACAGGCTGTGGCAGGTGGTGGACCAAGCGGTGACACAGCCAGGCCCAGGGTGCAGCTGGAACTCAGACATGAGCTGGGGAGCCACCTCTAGCTCTTTCCGGCGATAACACCTTGGTTTGGATCTGCACTAGACTGGAAATTTCTTGAGGCTATGGACTATATCCTGTTTACCATTCATTCATTCACTCCTTCAGTATTCATTTTGCTCCTGCACCACACCAGGCATTGTGCCAGGAGCTGGGGACCAGTGTGAACAAGACATTATTCCAACTGTCACAGAGCCTACCAGCTGACAGTCCATGGGAGACACAGGCATTACTCAACCCCATGGCTAAGGGAGAATTACAGATAGATGGGGCCTCCCTGAGGAAGCAGTGCCTGAGCTGAGGGCCCAACTGTAAGAGTTAGCTGGGCAAAGGGGAGCGGGGCAGAGAGAGAAAGAGTGTTCTGGGCAGAGGGAACAGCATGTGCAAAGGCCCAGCAGGGAACATGGCACCTTCAAGGCCCTGAAAGAGGCCAGTGTGGTTGGAGAGCAAGAGGGGTGACTGGGAGAGGCTGGCAGGGGCTGGCAGGCAGGTCCTTGTGCCCTGTTTGAACCTAAGAGCAGCCAGTGGACTCTGAGGGATTTAAGGGCAGGGGGAGGTAAGGCCATCCTCACAGCTGCATTTTGAAAAAGTCCCTGTATCCCAAG